TTACTCATTTGCGTTTTCCCGCAGCTTTATCCGCATAAACGGGTAATGCGAAAATATTCTCCATACTTACATAAATATCCTAGCTTCCAATTTTCAAGGCGATAGTTTCAAACGGTGTAAAATTTGATACTGTGCAACATAATGGATCGCATGAATAATACGTCAACATTTTGAAGCAAATCAATCAAGAACTTCTGGAGATTTGTAGGTTTTCACAAACAAGTATTTACATTTTTTGGTATAGATTTATATTAGCCGTGTGGGATCATAAAACTGATATAAATATTTACCATATTCTGACAGTGCCCCTGAGAACGTTTACTTATGTCATAGAAAAATATCCTTATCGTAACAATTTTCGTTGCTTTCTTCGATTTTTTTGCCTTCGCTATTTTCGTCTCTAAGAAAACCCACAGTAACGATGGTAAAATATCAAAGAAAGTTTTTGTAACAACCGCTTTCTTTTCTTACTTTTGTATGAGATGATCTATTTTTAGATTTTGCCACGATTTATAATCCATTAATCTTCTTAATGTATTATTTAGTTTCAGATATTTTATCAAAAATCGTCACGGATCAGTAAAAATCTAACAGCTGTCATTCCTCTCAAACTTCTGAATTTTATTTCCATTCGAGATGTATTATTTACCATATTATTTTCTTATACCTTATACTTTTTTAGTTAGAATGTAATTCACTGCTTGACTAGCGCCAGTCTTGTTTTCCAAAGGTGTAAGTCGGTTTCATACCAACCTAGAACATGTTTTTACTAGAACAATAAATTCTGATGAGTAGACTTTCTCCACTTCACTTCATTTGAAGATGCTTATAATATGTTCGGTCAATTTCTCCACAATATCTAGACCAAGTAGCGTGATTCTATTTCTATTTCAAAGTGTGTTAGCGAAATAGTTGAATGAATATAGTGATGACTTGATAATAAACTCCTCTGACTTCTTCGCCAATAGAAGTAAATACTGTAGTTCAAAATATTTCATATTCGTAGTAGTTAGTTTCCATTGTTACTTTGACGTACGAAAAACAAAAGTCATACATACAATGACCGGTCCCTTCAAATATCCACAGAACCCTAAATATGGAATAGGATAAGAAATCTTTATTTTGTTTGCTCACAAGATTTAGTTTTATATCCTCATATCATATCAGCCGCATGAGAAAGAATAAAAATATTTTCTTACACGTAGGTACATACAAATCAAAAAGACGTTGCTTTACATGGCAGTTTTTGATCAACATCTCCACGTAATAGATATCAATAGTGACATTGTAGTCTCGTTCTTTCTTTTGATACTGTATTCATAAAAGAATAGTTTATTCTCTTTGGCTATTTTGTATGTTCCAGTTCATTTTCTAAACGCCTTATCCGATTTTAACCGGGCTTTCAATTAGCGATGGAGAATTCGGTAGCAAATGTATTGGATAAAAAATCTATAAAGCAATTTTTTTCGTTTACCCCATCAAAAAATCGAATCTTGAATTTCTGTCACTTTACGCAAATCGAGCATGCAACCAATACACCTAGTACTGTTTAAAATTGATTGTGCTATTTTATATGCATAATTAATGTATGCAAAAATTTATAATTAATCTTAAATATCGAATTATGTACAGCTTGATGTGGAGGTACTTATGTGTTATTCATGGTGTTAATTAAATTTATATTCACCTACAGATTTATTATTCCGATCACGACCCAAGCTTTAGTTCCCAGTTGCCAACGAAATATGTCAACTTTCTGAGTACGGGGTGTAATAACCTATATACAATTCCATAAACTCTGTCCTGATTAGTTAATTTTGAATTCATGAGAGAAACGCTGTGATACGTAAAGCAATGTTACTCATCTTTGCCTGTTTATTAAAGCGTTGATTAATTTTTTTTTTAATAAGCGAGCGAGCGAAGCGTCTCTGTTCCAAATCTGACAAAATTTGCTTTCCTCTATCAGTTTGTTGGTACTCCTCGTCCTATAAATCGATCGTGATTTACAACCGATTTCGACGAAACTTGGTATACAGGTTTTGCGACTTTATTGTTTTTTTTTATTTAATTTTTTTTTGGATTTTATCGTCAAGTATTTTTGATTGAAGAGGTACTTCCTCCAAAAAGGGTTAAAATTAGGATATTCAATATGTCCGCCTTATGATATCCGATTTCGATGGTTCTTTTTTTATTTGAAAGGTAATAACTTGGTGAAGATCTGATGTGTATCTTCGGTGCGATGAGCAGAAAAGATCCTTACAATGTAGTAAATTGCTCACTTAACTTTAGTGGTACATTAATTGTGGCAAAAAAGTTCATGCTCTGGAGGTCTACAGTGTTCTCTGAACTACTAGTAATAATACGTCGCCGTCGTATAATAAATCGTTGTATTTATGCATAGGGGAAACGCATGGTGCCCGCGCCCAACATCATATTATCTGTTTTACATTCAGCCCCTTTTAACGTCCTACTGCTGGGCACGGGTCCCCGAGGGGGGAGAAGGGGGGGGCTGGCTTTCAGGATCCTTCAAATATCGGAATGTAGGAGTTGCTGAGCCCCCCCCACCCCCACGTGCGTTCACCTTGTCGTGGTGGGGGGGCTTAGTAGTGCCCGGCAACCCAACCGGGCGCGAAGCCAAGAAACGCTCAGGGAGGTGGCCCACTTCGGTGGGCGGTGGGAGGGCAGTGTACCATGCGGGTTGCTCCTGGTACTTCTCTGATAGCAGAGTGGACCTTGGAGCAATTCCGTGGTTGTTGTGGTCTGCTTCGGCAGACCTGCCATCGGGGCGTCGTAGTTGAATGCGTAAGCGATCCTGCGAGGCCCCATTAAGACGGTGAAAGGCTTTGTTGGGTTTTAGTGGGTAGTACTGGCTTTGCCGGTGAGTCCCACATCTCGTGCGTAAATGCAGTTCCAAACGTTAAAAAAAAAAAAGGATTTGCTGCCCGGGCATTTAGCCTAGCCGGGTGAGTCAACTACACTGGCCAAGTGCTGATTGGTGGTCTTTGGAAAACTTGCTAGGTTCTCTCAGCCATCCGGGTTTCCTCATAATGTTTTCCTTAACCATAAGACAAGTAACTAGACCCGGGATTTGAAACCGTTTCACTCAGTTTCCCACTGTTTTAAATTTTCCTTATCATTTGTGTTAGCTAAAAATTAGTTTACTATTAATAATATACTAATAGTAGTTTAATAAATGTAACTATATTCTATATGAAAAAAAGTTTTAGTACGTGGAGATGCAAAATAAATTCATTCAAAAACGTCTATTTACATTTCATCATAATCTTCTTAATTAAATTAATACGCTTATTAAATATTTAATACAGGTTACTTCACTAAATCACACTTTTTTGAATACTACTCATGTACTCGTAGATATAATTAGTGTTTGATACTTCTTTACGTGACATTGTACCAACTCCACGGATTTTGCTGAAAATCGACAGCTTATATTCTACATTTACACATAAATTTATATTTATCTAAGCACTTCTTAAAAAAACTATTTGAGATAAAAAAAGTGAGTACAGTTTTATTTATTCATAACGTCAACATATATTTCAAGAGTAAATATTTATTCCAACATAGGTATTATTGAGGGCAAATATTCTTGGAGTGGTAATTTGGCTTTGCTCCAAAAATGTGTATGTCAACTCCACCAGGTTATCAGCGTCCGGCTGACCCGAATATAGACCTCGAAATCTTTTCTCATCCCTCATAAAATTTTATTATGCCCTATAAAATTTCCTCCCAAGAGATCAATTCATATAAGTATAATCGACACATTTACTAAGATCAATGCGATAGTTTCTTCGATTTATGACGTTTTGCGATAAAAGGCTCATTGAAAGTTTCAGAATGTTATAATATAGGCTAGATAACTTGCGTATTTCATAAATTTCATTTTGATAAAAAACCGTTTTCAGTTTGATACTCAGTATCATGAACGAATTAGGTCCAGTCTCTAATTAGTTCATGCTCAGTGTTTATTACCACAAAGATGTAACTATGCTGTAATAACTAGGGCACATATTTATGACGCAGGATAAATATTTTTAAGACTTTTTATAATAGGTTCTTATCATTAAAAAATCTTTATCAAATGAAAACACTAATTATAAATATTTTTAATTTATAAAAGTATATAAAGACCATCCATATAAAGATATGTCCCTATTCTGCACCTACACATTAGGTAATCTAATAGTATAAACAGAAACTTTCGCATGATAATATGTAACAAATCCATTTACCCAAAGTTTGTTTCTAATATGTTTACTCTATCAGTAACTCAAAATATGCTTGTACTCGTACAATGTGCATAAATTAAAATCTGCGAGCATAGAACGCCCTAAAAAAATATTTTCTGTATAAGCTGAGCATCATACTTTGTTTACCCACCTAGAAACTAGTTTACATGTGTTAAAAGAATAACAAGCGAATAGTATAACATTATAAATTTAAATTATTATATTCCTTAGATACCCATCTATTCAAAATGTTTTAAAAGTTAAAAGTATAATAACAATGTATCTTTTACCGTTTTAGTAGTTTCTAACTAAAGGGTAGTGCTAAAACTCCACTTAGCCTACATTGTCTGTTTGCTATCTGTAATTTTACGGGATATATACATATTTTTAATTTTTTATCAATTTCCGAAATAAATTATCTATACATATAATAAAACTCTTAAGTGAATTGAATATGTACATTAAATATTTTTTTGTAAATCTTGTTGAAATAATCTTTATTATATCGATATAGAGGCCGAATCTATATTTTTTAATTTTTTTTTTGTCTGTCTGTCTATCTGGGAACAATAAACAAACAATGATTATGATGTAGGTGTGCGATATATAAAGTATTACTTTTTGATACACATCCACGCAAAAAAAATATTTGTAATTTAACCTAATTAATATTTTCACTGAAAACGCGATGATTTAGCTAATATTTCTATATTATATAATTGATATTACAATTTGATTTTTTTCCTTCAGGTTGGTACGAAGATAATTGGTTCGAGACGAACTTAGAGCGGGAGGGTTTGGAATGTACGCCAGAACAAATGCGAGAGGCGGCCGAGGGCCATCTTACCACAGAAGCCCTGATGTGGAATCAGAACGCTAATCAAACAACTATATCTGGCATGACTTCAGAAGATTTTCGGTTCGATTATTATTGATTTTTATTCAATATTGTATACAAATACGTCAACAATATATATAAAATTTTGGCGTAAATTGATCAAAATCTGTCTTATACAATGTTTACATGTGTAATTCCGTATCGGTTACCAAATTTACACTTATCTCAAAATACTTTGATCCATTTTCAATTTAGGTCATAACTGTTTTTATTTATCTAAACAATGTTGTGAAACCCAATTTTATATGACAGCGATTTCTTTTGTACGAATACAGAAAGAAAAACGAAACACATTCATGTGGTGCGATCCCAAATAAAACCGCTTGTCACAACTTTTACGCGTTGAGAGATAATATTCTATTCTTTCGACGGGCGACAGTCAATTGAAAATGCCTACAGATGTGATACCACTTTTCGCGATGTGACTTTATAGCTATGTGACTTCGTCAAATAAAAATTCTCTACGAGTATCCTTTTGTATACTCAATGTTTCACCTAACGTCAAAATGTAGAGAATTCCTTTGACAGACGTTTTTTTAACAACAGCCCCAAATTCCGGGAAAAGTTTATAAAGCTTCTATACATAACACTATATGATTGTATTAAAAAAATGTTTTGTATAGTTTTACACAACTTTTTTTTACATTTCAACTTAGAATATAACAATTTATCATGTAAACCGTACCATTAGCAACACATAATGGAATAAACTAGTGCATTTAATAAAACACTCAGAATAAAGAAATTTATTCAAAGTGAGTCGTTTTTCTCTATTGAACTGTAAGAAACAAGAATGAAATTATTGATTATGTAACGAACAGATCACGCTTGAACGAGGCACTCCGTGAAGCCGGCTATAACATCGACGGAGAAAGATTTCCAGAGGGATATCAGGAGGCGCCTCTAGCCTACGACGCTGTTTGGGCCGTCGCTTTAGGTAACTGTCATGAATACAAAATATCTAAAACAAATGAAACATGGCACACTCGTAATCGCATTTTATTTTTCAGCTTTCAATAAAACAATGGAGAAATTAGAAAAAAGCGGTTTGAGTTTAAAGAATTTCACTTATACAAATAAGAAAATCGCCGATGACATTTACGAAGCAATAAACTCGACGTCGTTTCTTGGTGTATCGGTGAGTTTGCCGAGAATATTGTTATGGGTTTATATTCAGTATAAGATATTTTGCTCGTTAGTCTAATGACTTTGCAGATTACGTTTCTAAGGTACAATAATTGCAAAGCAAACGACATATAAAAGAAATTCATATCTTAAAAAAAATTCTTCGTATTCAACTTTGCTTTACAGAAAGTAAAAAAAAATTACTAGAATCACAGTTAAATAAATATGTATTTACAGGGTTTGGTGGCATTTTCCTCGCAAGGAGATCGAATAGCCTTGACGCAGATAGAGCAACTAAGCGACAACCACTACGTTAAACTAGGATACTACGACACTCAAGCTGACAACCTGACATGGCTCGATAGGGAACGATGGGTTGGTAAGTGAAATAACATTTTTGACGCATTTCTGAATTCCTTTTTTTAATCTTTATGTTTTATCAACCTTGCGGTTGTAATACTGTAATGTATATATGTAATACTATATTATTGCTAAACCTTAACAACATTGTCGGTGTAGAGATGTCGCATTTTTAATTAAAAAATTTGCCATTCATAATTCTCACTAATGCCTACTAAACGAGTAGATGTAATAGCCAATATTAATAGAATAAAAAAAATTAAAACTAATTTAATTGAGACAAATTACAAAGGTTACGGTTATAAAAAGAACAAATACCTAAAGCTTATTATACATATAAAATTACTTGATTACATTTTAGCTCTTTCTTATACTTATTAAAGTACATATATATGAAAATTTTAATAAAATCGAAATTAAATAATGAAATCGAAATAGAAACTTGTTTTATATTAAATCAACTTTTGTTCGCATAATACATATTAACAACATTGTCAATATAGCAATTGCTTTAATCGGTAAACCACGAAACGTAAAACGGAACTGCGGTTTGCTCTAAGAAATTCCAAAAACCACGGTTACAGCCAGCTAAAACTTTGAATTAGTGGTAATTACACAATGTCATTCAAACTTAAATACATATAAACAAGAAAGGGTGGACGAAGTTTTTAACTTACGTGTTGGCTTCCCGATATGCTTCCCGACATAAAATAAAATTGGGTGGGGTTGTGCCGGTGCACACTGCCGTTGGTTTAACGTGAAACATCTATTTCAGCGAGTCGCTTTTTGGAATGAAAACAAAATTGACTTCGTTCTAATTGTTTTAACACTATGACAGGAATAGATAGTGTATATAAAGTTCTTTCGATTAAATATTGGACAGCAATTTTGTTAAAAATTGGTCAGTGATATGAGAAATAAGAAACATAAGGCGTTGATTATTAAGCGTGCCTTGGCAGCTTTGAGATAGTCTCAGAAACACCTTGATCGCTCAGCGCCCGACATATGGGCCACGCATAGGTACTCCACCTATGCGTAGCCCATAACCCCCTCTTTCCGATGACAACCGATGACAATTATATTTCCGACTGGCTGCAGCACAAGCTAAGACCAACATGTTGTATGTTTAAATTTTTATACACTTCCTGGTTATTATTTCCTTTAAATTTTGTCCAAATTATACATTTTAAATAAAAATAAAACTAAGACTAAAACTGAGATTTTATTATGCTTATTACAGGATAGAAGGTTTTGTTACCAAAACCGTTATCGTCCCAGGATGATTCGCGATGATAAAATCTAACAACAAAAACAAATATAACAGACCAGTAGATGTAGTTAGCTCATACTGCGTGGATCGCAATAACGACAGTAATTCTGATTAATATATTTTTGTCTATATTTTATGTCCATAAAGTTGTTCAATATTTTAACTTTAAATAATAGCAATCTAAATTAATATTTTAACTTCTTTTAAATTATATATAAATCAATAATGTTGCTTAGATAAATAATTAATATTTTTTAATTTTTAATGTTCTTTATGGTTATACATAATATAATAATAGCAACACTAAATAATGTTAGTAATGAATAAAGTTTTTCAAAAATTATAATATTTATAATAATAACAGCAAAAATTAAATAAATAATATTGCTATATTTAATAATAATATTTATTAAAAATTTAAAATGTTTAGAAATAAAAATCAACAAATATTGTAAGGTACTTTATTGCCATTTAGTATTTTGGAAATCATTTTTATAAAATAGTGGATAGGCACTGTCTATAACAAGTATGTGTTTGAGACGTCTAAAACCTAGTCTCTCCCACAGAGTACATTGGTATATTCTAGTCTCTTCCGTGACCATGATTGGTGTAAAGCATTCGAAACGTCGGGAACTAAAAATCAAAATAAATCCGCGAAATAATCCGAAAAGATAGTTTTATTTAAAATGTCAAATATTCGCGTAAATCTAAGAAAGTATCAAATTATACATATTATTATTTAAGTCGATCAGTGACACGTGTGATTCGTGAGTTACGCCAAATAAAAAGGAGCGAGAAGGGCGATTTCGGTTATTCTCGGTAGTAACCTGGTACTCCATATATTTCAGTGTGATTTTAAAGACGTTTCACGTCAAAAACTTTCAAGGAAGGAGGAGTTTCTTTGATTTATTTTTGTGGACATTAGCCAAATAACATAAGCAAGATTTTAATTACATTCCATTCTACGTTCGATTTACCGTTTTATATAAATGGGAAACAATATCAACAACGCTGAAAGTTCTAAATGAAGTGTGCTTACTTGAAAGTACTTCCATTAATGGTTCGAATTCCTTAGATTGTAAGAATTAAGTGAACAAATGATTCTTTTTATATTTATTATTATGGTTTCGATTTTTTTTCTCGAATAGTTTTCTTTAATTTTAATTTGATTATATTCGTTGAAAACTTTATTTATATACTTCTATGTGTACCATATAAAAGCTTTTTTTATACACACTAATTAATTAAATCAAGTGTTTTATAAGCTGTATATATGAATAAAAAATGAAACGGATCTATTATTCCTTTTATTATCACTTTATGAGCTTTACAAAAACACTTTTTATGCCAAAATATTGTAAGCCATCCACAAATTTTACCCCAAAATGCCATTACGGTGAGCAGGGATGATTAAAGGCAGTCGTGTGAATAAAAGGTGGTATTATAATAGCGGCAAGCTTATGTTAAAGCGTGTAAAATAGTACTTTCTTTGTATACAAAAATTGCAAAGTTTTAAATAAAACGTACCGAAAATGAAAAATCCGAGAGAATAAATGGGAACAACGTTACAAAGCAGCTTAGCTTGTTTTAAAACTGAATTCTTGGTAACTTCAAATAGCTTTCTTTAATTCTATCTTAAACTCATAGCAACAGGATGTTTTATTAATATTCTTAGCGACGAGAAATATTGGTGACTGAAATAAAATAACGAAATGCCTCATTTTCCTTACTGGCAATAGTGTTACGGCCAAACTTTTACGATCAGTGGGCATGGGGACTTTTATGGGTAGTGTCACTTTCAAAGTTACAGTATTAAAGTCGTTTGCGTAACTGGAATGAAATGAATGAAGTACATTATAGTTTTAAAGATAGTTAACCTTTTATATTAAAACTATCACTGTCCGCGGCTCGGTCCGCGTTCACCAAAAACCAAATTCTTAGGTTTTACATATTAGTAATTAGTATACTCTTATTTTGCAGTTTTTGTATTTTTTCTCAGAAATGAGATATTTTCCCGTGGTAAAAAGTCTCCTATATGACCCGGATAACCAGCTACAACCATTTCAAATTTTATCAAAATCCCTCCAGTGGTTTTTCTGTGATACGGTAACAGACAGACAGACAGACAAAAATTCTAAAAACTATAGATTCGGCCTCTGTATCGTTAATAATGTTTTTTCAATAAATTTTTCCAATAAATATCTAAGTAGGTAATGTACAGATTCGGCTTAGTTACAATTTTATTATATGCATAGATTATGAAATGGTTTCACAAAGCAAATTTTCGGATTGAAATTGAACTTTTGTAAAATTTAAATGTAGACAAAAAAATAAAACGTTAAAATTTAGTCAACTTACTTGCAACACACTAAGTTATAATGCTAAAACAACAAAAAAGAAAAACGTCCGTCCCTTTGTAAAAGCTCAGTTTCCTTTGTTAACCTTTATAATATTTACGATGAATTGTTTCTAGAATGTTCAAGCATTAATTCAATTATTCACTTTGTTAGGTGGTAAAGTGCCGCCAGACCGCACAGTGGTGGTGAACGAACTGCGCACGGTGTCACTATCCTTATTCGCCTGCATGACAGCACTTTGCATAGCCGGCATTCTTGCAGCCATCGGTTTGATCATCTTCAACATTTTACATAGACACAGACGGTAAAATGTTTTATATTATATAAATACTGAATCACAATTGATCTATTTGTTAACATATTTTATAATTGAATTAAAAATATTTTGAAAATTTAGAATAATTAATATTAAAGTTGTAGAATTATAGACCTTAATTAGATTTTAATTGAAGCCTTTAGAGCTCCGCCTCAAGTTTGTGCTTATTCGAGTGTCGTAAACTAATGTTACTAGAGATCTTAAACGAAAAAAGACTTAAAACTTGCTACCTTTACTAATCAGAATCTGAAACAAAGTCAGAGTACGGGAAAGTCCTTTTCGTTTTTATAATATAGCTACAGTTAATTTTGTTTTATATGGATGCAGAAATTGTGTCAAATTATATAAACTTAAACTAGCAACTATATGTATATTACTAATGGAAAGATACATTTTGGGGCAGGGTAATCCAATGGTCACATCCAGCTTGCAACACTGTGATGCTGTGCGGCTGTTGCATATGCTTCGGCGCTGCAATAGCTCTAGGAGTAGATGGGAGATGGGTGCAGCCTCAGCATTTCCCCGGTCTTTGTGCTGCAAGGGCCTGGCTTCTCGCAACTGGCTTTTCAATGGCATATGGCGCCATGTTTACTAAAGTATGGCGTGTACACAGACATACAACGAAACCAAAACCGGAAACTAAGGTAATGCACGAAAATTTGCTATTTTCTAAGATTAATGTAAATATAAAAATAGGAAACGCAATCCGGAGAAAAAGTGTTTACTCAAACGGGTATTTACGTTCTTAACAGCTATTGCTCAATTGTTGTTATCTTTAAATTATATCACGTATAATTACAAATGAACCAACAGCAAACACGGTAAATATCGTACCGGAAAAAATAAACTCCCTTTATCAGCTCACAAAAAGACAAATTGGCGCTTGTTTTCTGTTAAATCTATGGAATGGAAAGACTTGAAACGTTTACAAGGCTTTGTTTCCTGAAATAATATTTTATTTTTTAGGGCGCATTTGTTCAAGATATATTTATTTACTCGAGTAAATGTGCTTTAATATTTTTTTAAATTCACAAGCAACATACTGTCATGTAATTTATCATACTGCTTACTTAAGATACTCGTATGTAAAATTTTTCATAGCAATTGAGCACTTTGTTCCACTACAATGATTCACAACTGTCGCGGGAATGTGAACCAAATAAATTCCGCAAACGCGAATAGGCGGTTATGTTGATGGCAATACAAAACATAAATCTAGAGGTGAACATCCGCTTCGCATAATTTACATTGTCGATACTGAAACCGCATTGAAATTCAAATTGATTAAATATAACGTTGTATAAAAATAGAATGGAGATATAAAGATATATAGTAATTACCCTTGTACTTTTCCGGACCGTGTCCCTTGACTCGCTCATTAAAATTACTAGACCGGAAACGTTATTCTTCTCAAAGCTAATAAATAACGTTTAATAAAGAAGAAGCTCTAGTGACTTTTAAGCGTGCAGTTAGTGCCCAGGCATGCTTTACATTAAATATAAAATTAAATGTAGTATAATTTTATATCATTATATAAATATCGCCATAAGATATGTAGTTGTATGATGCCCTATTAAGCTTATTGTGTATGAATGAAATTTCTCTAAGAACAGGGAACTTTCAAAAATATTTGCTTTATAATATCCAAATGCAGAAAAGTGTGTTCGATAGCTAGCAAAATTCTTACTGTGGTCCCTTTTTTATTGACCGGGTCGAACACAGTGGAATATTTCTCGTTACTATAAGTTTGGTTTTTATGACGAACGAGGGAAAACAGCCAAAAATATTTGTTTAGTAAGCCATGCGCCGTGGTGACTACTTTTGTGTGACCTCATTTCTTTTAACAGACGAAAAGTTACGTTCTTGCGCGTGTGCCTATTGTAATATATGTATTTTATTTACAAACTAACTGTTTGTTGCGGCTTTACCTTTGTTGCACATTTGAAAACAAGTTCTTAGTTAAAAATATTGTCAGACTTTTTATCTTATTTAATAAAATCTGTCTAAAAACAACATTTAAAATAATTTATTAATTTTAATAAGGTGTTAAAACAGGGCTGGATTTAAGAGTAGGCAACCGGTAGTGTATCTCTGTTGTCCTAGTATACGAGTGGGTAGGTCCAAAACAGAAATTTCTAGCACTTACCAAGTGCCCAAGTCCTCTTAATTTTCTTTAAATTGTAAATACTAATTTTTAACATATAAAGGAACCAAAGAAACATCTTTGATTTATTGTTTAAGGCCTCCACTCCTTGTTTTCCCACAGTAAATTAGGCATTAAAAGTTATAACTAGAAATAAAAAGTTATAACTTTATATTAGTGTTAGTCACATCTCCTTTTTTTTAAATGCATTTACGCACGAGGTGTGGGACTCACCGGCAAAGCCAGTACTACCCCCTGAAACCCAACGGAACCAACCCCGTCTTAATGGGCGTCGCAGGATCGCTTACGCACTCAATCACGACACCCCACTAGTAGTCACATCTCCTAACCAATACGTTTATAACATTTTTCAACCCCCGACGCAAAAACGACGGGGTATTGTACGTTTGACGTGTCTGTGTGTCTGTCTGTGGCATCATAGCTCCCAAACGGATGAACTGATTTTGATTTTGTTTTTGTACTTAGCTATGTTTGATGAAAATCGGTCCAAGATAGTCGGGGTTTTTTTTAATTTTTAATTTAATTTTATTATCATACTACGAAAGCTATGTACTTATATTCTATGTATTGCTCCGTTGTACTCCCATATCTTATTAGTTAGGAAAGATTAAAATTAAAGTTTAAAATTTATAAATAATAATATTTTAAATTTCATAATTATTCGGCTTCATATAGAATCGTATGCACGGTTGGAAGTTATACACCATGGTGGGCGGACTGCTAGTATTGGATGCTGCATTGCTCACAGCGTGGCAGCTTCGAGATCCTCTTCAGCGTCGCGTTGAGATATTCCCACTGGAAGCCCCTCGACATCACGATGACGATGTCCATATTCGGCCTGAGTTGGAACATTGTGAAAGCGAGCATAATACTGTTTGGTTAGGTAAGTGATAATTATTAACTGAACAGTTATAGAACATTATAATCTTAATGATATAATATAAGTTGTGCACACCCAAAAACTACCGTAGCCGTAAAAGCTAGTTACGGCTGTAGATTTTAACATTCCAGATTCGAATTCTGAGTTGCTTGTTCAAATAGGTTAAGAGTAATAGGTTTTTATCTGTACCTAAATTTTAATATAGATATTATTTATTGCACTTAAAACAAAAAACGGCTATTAGTTGGAAGTAAAGTGGATAAGGAGCTCATCATCAGATCGTAATAACATTCGTATGGGACCACCGCGCAAGTATATTGTTTCGAATAAAAAAATACCACGCAAATAGACCCAGAGATTTCGGAATAATCGGTGTACGTACATACAAAAAATACTCCTCTAAAAATACTCCTCTTTTTCGTCAGTCAGTTAAAAAGAGAAAAACTACTGTACTTACTCACATTTAACATATGTTTTCGTAGTTTGTATCAAAATGATATTTTCTTTTATATTTTCAGAATTGGTTGCTTTTATTTGATATCCGTATTGTTATAGTCCGTATTTGTATGTGCCACTTTCTCTTTGATTTTATATAAGGCTTACCTAGTAATAATAATTTAATTAATATATAATTTTTTTAAGTACTTAATCGATAGTTAATTTTGTCACATAAAACATCCTTGACCAACTGTTGTATATAAAACACTCATCAAAACGAAACAAATAATCCCAAACTCGGAAATTTACCTTGTAACTATTGAACAGTTTCACAATCCAGTATCCACCTCCTGGTGCTATGATCAGGTTAGTTTTGTGAAAAATTTGTGTAATGTCAAGGTAAGAATATTGTACTGTCTTTCGGATTTAATATCCTTAAAAAGCTTCAAATCAATTTCTACAGTGAAAAGAAGAAAAAAATGATTTTTAAGCTTCGATTACATAGTTACTAGTGAACCTTATAAAAGCGTGTGTATTAGCCCTTTTTAACGTCCCACTGCTGGGCACGGGCCTCCCTTCAGTACGAGGAGGATCAGGCCATAGTCCACCACGCTGGCCAAGTGCGGGTTGGCGGACTTCACATGTCTTTTGAAATCTTGCTAGGTTCTCTCAGACATGCAGGTTTCCTCACGATGTTTTTCTTCACCGTTAAGACAAGTGGTAATCATGTTGGAAATGATTCGCACATGAAAATATCAAAGGTGCGAGACCCGGGATTTGAACTCGCTTCACTCGGTTTCCCAAGGGAGCGCGTTACCACTGGGCTACCACTGACCTACATATATACATTCACTCGAAGAACATTGTCATTCTTATCTAGTAATAAAGTATAGTGATGACAGAGTGAGTAGACCTTTCGAAGAATGACAAAACATATTCTTTTATAGCACAAAAACTACAGTGACGGACGGGACAATACACCAGTCTATAACATTTTCAATCTCAGTGTCAACGTATGTATATGGCAGCCACTGGTCGAACAGCTGCATTTTCGATTTTTTACACGCCGCAGATGAGATTTTATAAAAATGTTTTCAAATTCGCTACGTATAAAGTAAATATTTTTATTTTTTATATGAAAAGTATATTAAAATATTCATTAAAATGCATGTGACAGTCAGCATTTTTCTAAAATAAAAATTACGGCCGTTGTGACGTAGTAGGGCACGGCAAACAGCTGTCTTATTCTTTCTACTGAGAGGCCACTGGTGTGATTTCTGTGGGAGTTACCGGTATTACTTTTTTTGTTTACCATATACATAAATAGACGCTCTATTCTCATTCTCTACGTTAATAAGGAAATCTATAAAGAAGAAAATAAATATGGACCTATCATAATTTTAGGTAGAAAAAGTAAAAGTAATTTATGTTGAAATCCATATCCATACTAATATTATAAATGTGAAAATCTGTTTATTTGTTTGTTTGTTTATTTTTTTGTCCTTCTTTCACGTCAAAACAAAGTGAAAGATTAGCGTGAATTTTTGTGTGCAGATACTTGGACTACCGGGGAGTTACATAGGCCGCACTTTCTAGCGCGGGATATTATCTCATTCCCGTGGAGAAACGCGTTATAATATAACCCAAAAAAATATTTATGATCAGAATTATTTAAAACTTGATATTAATGTTCTTCGATACAATTAAATAAATACGTGTTTTTGCAGGAAGTTCATCCCATAAGAGGGTAAAATAGGGGATGAAAGTTTGTATGAAATCTACCTTTTTATAGTTTTTTTTTTGTAATTTTAGCGAGAGTGAAGCTATTACTATGAATTAAGCTACGTATCAAGTAAGTCGGCAATATTTGTGTTGTCACTTGTTGGTGACTAATTTTCTTTAATTATATCGAGTTATCAACAAAAATTATAAACAATTGTTGGGAAGTAAAAAAAATGTTGTGTTTTCATTTTCTATGGTAAATATAAAAAGAATATCTACGCGTGTCACGAAAGATACTTTATTTCTTTATGAGGACGCACACTCAGTAAACAACATTATGTTGAGAATATTATAATTACCTGAGTCATTTTAATAAACGAATAAATCGAACGTTAATGAATTTGTATTATAAGTACCATAGGAACCGAAGTATTGCGTGATATTTTTTTAAAGTGACAGGTATTTTGGTGCCAATTCCCTTTTCTCCCAAAATATTTTTGAGGTAGACACCATCTGTACTATGGCATTTGAGACGTCAAATACCTTAGGTCTACATCAGGAACCAACAAGTTTTTTATTATTAGGTTAACACCTGCAGGTAAATTTTATTTTTATTTTATTTTATTTTAAAAAAATAAAAAATAAAAATAAAATAAATTTCTAAGAAATTAATTGAAATTCTAAGAAATCTGTTTTTAAGTGAGACGCCGGCGTGTCTGCGGTCGTGGAGGGATTAAAGATTCGATGAATATTTAACCTATTCATAAAAAAAAGAAAAATAATACAATATGCTCCGCTAACAAGTCATTTGTTCTCAAATTATTTACTAAATCAATTACCTGCATATGATTGTCTTTTTGTGAAACTAAACTTACCCAATAGTTTGATTGTTGTTTCACTTAGCAATAATAATATTACGATAATACATAACGATATAAATATCATAGCTGTGTTACTTGATGACAAACTTTTTCGGTTCTTGATCAAGACAATTACCACCAGAAATATTGATCAAGATTTTCGCAGTTTATTTCCAAGCTACGATTGCACCGAAAAAATGCCACCATTTGTGTTTCTAATTCTTCTAAAAGTCAAAATATAAAATTATGTATAATTAGTTTATTATTTACATAGTTATATTGTTTTGAAATACTTTTTCTAACTTGTTTTGTGTTATCGAAGAGACAGCCAGCCTAAAATATAGACTAAATCTTGGCCTTAAATGTGTCTGAATTTGGAGCATCTTAAGTCAAATAAAATCTGGAAATCCTTTGTATTACCGAGGCAAATGTCTGGTGGCCCAGTTTTCTTGCGATTTTAAATGAAACCTGAAAAACAATGAAACTTGTAAGTTTTACGACAAATGCTTCGTTTTGTTTTAAAAGTAGCGACCCGCCTTCGCTTAGCTCAATCCCCAACTACTACCCCTTGGGGACTTGATGTATCAGGATAAAAAAAGCCTATGCCTCAATTTTTTGTTTCCTTACTTTACGTGATAAAAGGGCGAAACAATAAACACTTTTGTGCTTATTATATTGGTAAAGCTTTTATATAATAACTGATTAATTAATGATTACTTTATTTTATTTAATAACCGATGTCAATCATCTGTTAATATTGATTATGCAAAATCTTGTTCGAATCTGTCTAATCAGTATTGTGTACCATCAAATTGTTTTTATAAAATTTAAGTATTTGCAAAGGAATAGTGATTTAACAGAAAAAAACTACCATATCTTTTTTTTAGAAAAAGAATGTATAGGAAATTAAATTTTTTGTTGAGGTATTTTTTCTAATTTCTTACAAATTACCAAAATTACAAATCGAATAAAGTATGATGAATCAATTAGATAAAAATTTATTCTTCCTCGTTATCAATGTCAGTATCACTGTCAGTATCAGTGCCCGCTACGCCAGTTTTGTTCTTGTCAATGTCGGAGTTTTCACCTGTAAGCTTGGCACTATTTGACCAATATAGTATGGTAGGTTTAAAAATAAACAGAAAACTCTAATATAAACTCTTGAGTATAAATATTTTACGGAAACTAACTTAATGATTTTGTATTGCGTACTTTTGAAAAAAACATGCTGCAGAAAAAAACCGCATTTTTCATATATTTTTTTTAAGTTTTTTTTTCACGGTAGAAAAAAATCATTTCTTTTGCAACACTACAAAGTTATATATTATTCGCTTTTAATGAGGATAATAACCCAAATCGTCTCTCGATAATATCATTTTAAACTATTCTCTTTTTAAAATTGCGTGATGGTAAACATGTATGTAGATTTAATTACGAAATTTTGAAAATAAAATTTATATTTTAGAGTGTAGTAGGTATTTACTGTATTTTAGTTCTCATGGTACTATTTATTGTTTTTCAATTTCGCTAAAAATGTTCAGCTTTAAAGCCATGAAATAAAGCAATAAATTTTGTAAACTATCACTCTGCCTCTACATCAACTTTTAAGAAGCAGATGTTTCCACTTAAATTCAACATCATATTATAAAGTAATCTCATTCGCCAATACAATATTCTGTCAAGCTAATCTTTGAACGGGTAAATGTATTTTGACAGGACTTTCACGGTAAGCAGGAAGATTGTATGCCCTCTGACAGGTTCTCAGGGAAAACGACATCTTTAGAATATTTTGTTTATTTTGGGTTTTCCTCATTTTGGAAAGTTAAAAATAATCATCATTTTGGGATGATTATTTTAACGTTTTATAAGCCAACTTTTAGCCGTTTATTAATTATTTTTCATTTCATTTTGATAACAAATGAATAGTATATATGAACATTTTCACATTTATCTATACTAATATTATAAAGAGGTAAAGTTTGT